AAAAGCCAAATTAAATTTGAAATAAGAATAAATGCCCCTTTGTAAACATAGCATCATGTATACGGACTGTGAATGAGTATTCCGCAGTCGGTAGCGCCCGACTGCAACGTTCTTACTTGTTTTTCCTAGGTCCGTGTGCATCACGCGCATATCAAGTTTATCACTAAAAATCGATAACAACTCCCGATATTTTACTATCGATTAAAAACCTTATCGAAAGCTTGTTATGGAATTATATCTTCTACACCTTCAGAGCTAGAGTTTCCAAATTTTAAATGTAGACCTATGTGTATTTTATATAATTTCGAATTTTTTTATAATTTTCCCCCCACCCCTAAATTCACCCCCTCATCCTCACCTTTGTAAAAGGCGTATTTCAAGTACTAGAAACTCCTGCTTTGGAATGTACATACATTTTAACATTATGCTTACGTTCTGAAAGTTTCAATGCGATCGTACGTCTAGAAATTAAATTATTCAACAAATAAAATGCTTACTGTGCAGTTAACAGAGTATATGTATGTGTGCCTAAAAGAAGTGTAAAATATCAGATTGAAGGGTTCAGGGTATCACCTAGTCGAGCAGTCTCGACTAGAGTTTTCTTACTTGTTTTTTTTTTTGCGATTCTTTATAAAATTGAGAATCCAATATTCCTGCTTTAACATGCGATTGAAATAGTCGTTCCCTCAAAACATGCCGAGATACGCTGTGCATTATTCTGTGAATTTCCGTCACACTCGATTGCCATTTTGCAGGACTCATTTTCAAATGTAAGGCTTCCTATGCTGATGTGGGAAATGTTGTCCACAAGCAGGGCCAGAGGTAAAGCAAGGTGCTTAAGCGGGGGCGTCTGGGAGGTGTTAGGCGCTTGTTGGTTTATGCACAGGGGAGTCAACACTTCATTCGAGTTTGGTCAACAAATTTGGGTCCACGATGTACACAGCAACAGTTGATGAAGATTTGCCAAGCTCGTCTGCTCGAAGGACTCTAGATATCATCGATTCGGCAGGCATTAAAAGTTTTTCAAACGGACTTATCCTAATAGATACATGGCTTACATGGCTTAAGTGTGAAAACACGAAGACAGCAAGCACTAGCAACTCTGCTAAAACTTGAGTCCCAATTATTCTTTACCATTTCATGTAGGCCTAAAGAGTTTATCCATAATGTATACATATGTATATATCAGACAATCAGATTATTTGCGCCTCATAAGTTCGTGAATGAAGTACATAGAGCTTGCTATTGGATGGAACAATTGTGTATATGAATTTAATAGTGAAGTGGAGAGGGAGTTCCATCAACACAGATTACGTGGAGAGTAATTAAATTAAAGCACACATATTAAGTAGTCATGCTGGACATGAAGTTCAAGCAGCCACTACGAGAACTTAATGTGGCTATCCCATGAAACCAATATATTTCAAAGGACACTTGCCTCCGTGCAGAGTAAAGGCCCTTTCTTTGTTCGCCGGACGAAAGAGTAAGTTGTTTGTTTAATCCATGAGCTTTAAGACAACGTCCAGTCGTCGCAGGCAATTGGCAGAGCCTCGCATTAAAGCGTTTCCAAAGTTACAAACAAAAGTATTTAAATTAATATCAATATTCATAAGTATTAATCTTAATATTCATTTCAAATTGTTTTGAAAATATCGTTAAAGTTTTAATAAACAAAGTCCATTGCAAAAGATCTCAGTTGGTCATTTTTTTTAGGAAAGCTCTTCAATATTAAAAAATATATCCCCCCATCACGCCTTTCGGCCACTGTATGGGGAAAAATCCACCTGGCACCTTCAATAAAGTAATTGAGTATATATCAGCAATAGAATCTGTATATTTATTGCAATTATATTTCAACACCACAATATCAGCTCTATAAACCAGGAAGTTAACTGCTCAGCTGTAGCAAAACCACAAAGCTTCCTCAACAAATTAGCTAATTGTGCAGTAGAATTTCACCCGAAACTTCTGACAATGGAACTGACGAACTCCCAGGGCGCCGGCCAGCAGGGCTAGGAGGAACAAAGGCGAATCAACACCAACAATATTTGTGGTCAGAGCGGTTTTTGTGTCCACACAGAAAGGGGGGGGGGGGGGGGGGGGGGGGGGGCGGCAGCTATCTGTGGGCAGATGAGCACGTATTTACATGTCGGCTGTGTACATAAATCTGGTGCGCTTCGACCCAGTTTGGAGCTTGCTGCAGGCAACACAAATTACGATTAGCATACGCATTACCTGCGGTCACAATGCCTATCCAACAGCCGCAGCCGGAGAAGGGTAGGTAGGAAAATGTTGAATAGCATTCACTTCCCAGGTCTGAAACATGACAAAATTTGTTCATTGTTTTTCTCTTATCTGTAGAGCCAGCTGCCAGAGCCAGTGGCCGAGCTCTGAATGCCCGATGGGTCAGCAGGGCTGCCAGACAACTGAATGGACGGGGTCGATGAGCAGTTCAAATTGTTGGGGGCTGCATTAGAGATTAGCCACTTTGACTCCAACATTTATTGCATGCCAATAACTTTGGTCTGCCCGCAAAGGTGTGCCGTCGCAGTCGCAGTCGCCGTCGGGTGTGTGGGCGTTTATATGCAATGCTCAGACAATTTATGTAAATATGCAGCCTTGCATAAATCGAGCTGTTAGTCAAAACAACAGGAGAAACAAAGCACAAGAGCTGCCAGCTATCCTTTGTGAGTGGCAGCTAGTAATAAAATGCCATGTTTTTCGATTTTCCACTTTTCTTCTGTGTGCCTGGAAATTGACGATTTTCTCTTGGATTTTCAGGCATTTGAACGTGTTGCGTTTAATTTCTAAATAATTCAAGCACCTGTGAGCCCTTGGCAACTCGTTTGATTAGTCTAGCAACTGGTACTGCAACCTGTAATTGGCTTATCACAAATTCAATTTATTTTCTAAGAATTACTTTCTCTGGCTAAGCTTGCACACGTATCGCTGCAATTCGGGCTCAATATGATATTAAGTTTTGCGAGGTGCCAAAATTGGTGTTCACATTTTATTTGTAGTCCATTCAGTGATGATTTGACACATCGTATACATTTGATTTGACACATCGTATATCTTTACTTACATTTAAAACGACACAATAAATCTAAAACCCCTTTTAAATGTCATGATTTATGGCTAAAGTACGATCTTTCTTCATATTTATTTACCCAGCACTGGAAGCTAAAAGATGTTATTTAGAATCTAGTAGCGAGTCCGCTCGTCATAGCGCTGGATGAAGCTGCAAAAGTAAAAGTGAGATTATAATGAATATATGTATGTACATAGGAGTGATCAAGAATATGGGACAGGTTTACATATTCCATCTTGACTCGATGGCTGTAGGAATATAAGGATTAGTGAGTGTACAATATAAAAGATGTGATGCTGCAGATCTCACCTGCTTGCTTGACATAAAAAGAGCACAAATTCTTTACATACATAGATGTTTATTGAGTTTGGAATATTTAACAGAATTATAATAAATCTTTGCTTATCAATAAAAGTGTTTTTACATCTAAGTCTGAGGTGATTCTTAGCATTTGCTGCACAACTAAAAACTCTGTCATATAGTACTGCTGTGATTACATCAGATTCAAGACCAGAAAGCAACAACAACTAAACATTTATCAATTAAGTTTTGTACACTTAATTATTCATTATATCTATTGATATATTTTGCATCTACTTGGATTACATTCAGTGGAATTGCATATTTCAGTATATATGTGTGTGTATACTAAATGTGTATTTATTGCACAAATCAGATACGAATTTCAATGTAAATGTATAGTAGAATGCCACTTAATTACTAGGACTTTGCCACATCACATAGAGTATGTCGAATCAGAGTGTATTGCGATTATAATTTTATATATGTATATTTACAACAAATTGAGCTTCACAATTGCCGTGGAATTTGCATATGATTAATGCAGGGGAAGTGGGGGTAGCAAGAGGGCTATTGGAATATTCGAGTACTTTTCCGCTTATAGCTCAGGTTCGCTTTCAGCTCGAGCAGGCCTTTGTGGGTTGCTCACTAACATTAGTGCAATGCGCCACACACACGTGCACAGATGGTCACAGGATAAGGACAAAGGCCAGCCGGTCATGTACAGGAGCCATGGGCTTATAGCCGAGGCTAATACACACACCAATTGCCATTTCAGTGATGCTGGGGCTCAACACAACAATTACTGCCAATTAGCATAGCTAGAGTGTGTGTAAATTGCAGTGCGGGTGCGACACATTCACACACGCGCAAACGCACACATACGGAGATTGTGTGAGTGAGATCAGTGGCCAAGTGCTTAGAGCTGCGCGTCGGCCTGTTGGGAAGTGGAGCCCTCCTCCAGCAGCTCCACAACTAGTGTGCCTCACCTTTTCTCATTGATGATGGAGGCTCGGCCGATGCCAGCCCCAGCACCCAGGTTTGCATTATGCGAGTGCCCATTGATGCTGCCTGCGTGCTGCAAGGCCATCGAGTCCTGTCGATGGAAGCTGCCGCCACGACCGCCCGCAGCTCCGCTGACGCCGTGGTTGTTGTTCATGTGCACCGAGGCACGCGGCCCACCCCCTCCAGCCCCGCCCACTCCGATGCCACCGCCCACATAGGTGGAGCGACGCATCGAGGTGACGCTGGTGTCCATGATGCCTGTGGCGGTCGAGTGCTGGCGAAGATGGGGCTGGCGCTTGACGCAAATGCAGCACAGATAACGGTTGAAATGCTGCCGAAACACGCCGGACACACAGTAGAGCGCCACCGGATTAACACACGAATTGAGAAAGCTGTAATTAGAGCAGACCAAAGCGCAAAGTGAGTCTATAACCATAGCTGCTTCGCGCCTTGAGTGCGAGTACTGAGGCGAGTTCCCTACAAACTATCAACTGAATCTGTTAAATTCGTTTTGCTTCTATGCTGAAACAACTTTTGATACAATGCGAATCCGCTAATGTGCTGGAAAGTAATATGACATACTCGTAGTACTAAATATTTATGAACACTAATCTGATTATTGAAATCACTTGCAAAATATAAAAGTTAAATCATTTGGGCTTTAATATCTAATTTAGTATGTAGTAAAATAAAAAAAATGCTATTAATCAACATGGTTAGTTCAAGAGTTCACTTTAATGTTAAATAAAGTTGATTTGAGTTTGTCTCTTTGAATGACAATCCAGAAGAATGTCATTGCTAATTACTTCTGAATTGAAAGTTACACATACAATTAATTTGACCGTTTGGCAGAGTCTTTGGTTATTGATAAAACTCGATAGTTTTGAGCAGTTCGGAAAGCACTTAAGTGGAGTACTTTCACTTAACACTTAACTGGAGAGCAGAAAACAAGATAAGTAATTCGCATCGCAGTGCTGTCGATTTGCGCAACCTTTTGTGGAATATTTTATTTAGGGAGTATTTATTTTTCTTTTTGTTGGGCAGCCCTTTCGGCATTGAAATGCAAATTACTCTCGGTGGAGCTGACAGTCTGCGACATCAGAAATGAAGTTGCCCGAAATGCTGACACATTATTTTGTGCACTTTACTGCGCAAAGTGACGCCCCCAGCGCGCTGCAGCGCCAAGAGCGGACGTCGCCGGGCAGGAAAGGGGCTGACTGTCAACGAAGGCAAATTTACTGCAGCTTGACGCGTAGATGCGAGTGTGGTAAAGAGTTAGCTTGCTGTGGGAAGAGAGAGAGAGCTGGAGATGTGTGTACGGGAAAAGTAAGTTTTTACAGGGATTATCTCTTTTAATTAAAAATATTGCCTGCACGCCAGGGATAGTAAAGTTCGCATATGAAACGAATGGAACGAGGGGTGCAAGTCCCACAACTTTAAACTATTTAGCGAGAGCAAAAAAAACAAGAAAGAAAGCTCTAGTCGAGACTGCTCGACTACGAGATCCCC